ACCGAAGCATACATAAATGTCAGCATATATATATAATATGAAAGTATAGGAAACTTGATGAATACGTACAAAATACTCTATGATATAGACAGGATATGAACAATGACTGTGAGTAACACGGTTAACACGGATGCGGTACAAGAGGAGACACCATGGAGGGAAATTGTAAACTCCGAAAATAGAAGTGATATAATTAAACATTGCTTTAGTGTCCGAGTAGTGAGCAACTAGCTGGGGAGGAGGTCAACTTTCTTCGCAACTCTAGAAGATGTGACAGAGCACAAGATATGGAATCACTTCGGCAGTTGACCGATAGCTAAAAGGCGATGCCCGAGAGCTGGAATTTATTCAACAAATATAAAAATATATAAGAATATCCATAGGAAATATTAATAGATGTTCAGGACGTCTTCGTAGACAGGCATGTTTGGGTAGGGTGGGGCGGCCCTGACCTAGGAGCTGGTGCCCGCTGGCTGGGGTCTTCCCAACTTTCCCTCTTCCGTGTGTTTGTGGAGGGGCGCGCAATACTACACTACACCAAGGATATACTGTCAGCTTCCAACACCACGCAGGCCATATAGCTCCTACCATGCGCACACAAACTGTGAATGTTGTGTGGTGTGAATGTTCTATTGAAGTGTAAATGTTCGATTGTGGTGTGAATGTTCTATTGACGTGTGAATGTTCTATTGAGGTGTGAATGTTCTATTGAGGTGTGAATGTTCAATTGAGGTGGGCGTAGAGGTTCGTCGAGCGTTTGGCCAAGGGTTAAATGAAGGCATGACCCCAGCTGCATGATGTGTGTACTGTGGCAGTTATGACGCCAGGGAAATCATCAAATCCATGAATCGATCAGCATAATGAATGATTTTAAGTATTCTCAGCGAGCACGGGAGCTGACGCCACTGTTCCAGTCAGTGCTAGGGGGACCTTGTGGGCTTGTGCTCTCCTCTGGTGGCAAGGTTACTTCTTGTGGCATCCCCAAGAAGACGGTGATCTGCATTACTGCAGCACCATTTGCAACGTTGCATAAGAGTGACGCTGAGAATGTCGGTCGTCTGAGCAATGACTCCAGTATACCTTCTTTCCCTGATCTGTCTTCGTTTGTCGCTATAAATGGATATAGCTTCATGTGTTTACCACGCTAGTACTTCCCACTTATTCAATACATTTATTTTGAACAAATTCAAACTCCTTATATCTCATCTGTAGCGCATTGACTGTTGCTGCCGGATGCGGCTAGTTTATTGTTGTTGTTTTAGATCCAGCAACTCGGAACAAAAAGTTCCAAGTAGCACGGGCTGTAACTGTAGTTTATTGTGGGTAGGGCGGGAAAGGGGGGGGGCGATACTGTAGCGCAGACGGCTTACAACCAAATGGACCTGGGTTCCATTCCCGGGCAAGGCGAGACGTTTGGGCTCGTTTTAGTAAACTTTATCTCTCTCTCTCTCCCCCCCCCCTCTCTCTCTCTCTCTCATATATATATATATATATATATATATATATATATATATATATATATATATATATATATATATCTATATATATATATATATATATATATATATATATGTAGTCGTAACTAGTAGCCAGAACGCACTTCTCAGCCTACTATACAAGGCCCGATTTGCCTAATAAGCCAAGTTTTCATGAATTAATTGTTTTTTCGACAACCTATCCTACCTAACCTAACCTAATCTAACTTTTTCGGCTTCCTAACCTAACCTATAAAGATAGGTTAGGTTAGGTTTAGGTAGGGTTGGTTAGGTTCGGTCATATATCTACGCTAATTTTAACTCCAATAAAAAAAAATTGACCTCATACAACCTGAAATGGGTAGCTTTATCATTTCATACGAAAAAAATTAGAGAAATATATTAATTCATGAAAACTTGGCTTATTAGGCAAATCGGGCCTTGCATAGTAGGCTGAGAAGTGCGTTCTGGCTACTAGGTACGACATATATATATATACACTTAAATTTTGCTATCTCTCCACGTACTATTTATTTCCTTTGTGTTTTAATTGTAGGTTAAAGCACTGAGTAATAACAGGAATTTCCTGCTGGCGTGTACTAACTCTCTCTCGCCTTCACGCTCGCTGACTCAAATCCAATCACAGCTCTTGCTGGACATGTTGTAAATAATAATCATTATTATTTCTTTTGCTGTTGTTGCTCTTACAATGCTGTGACTGGTATTGTTACTGCTACTGTTAGTTATTAGACTGTTCTTATTATAACTGATAATAAAAATATAACTTGTACTACTGCCATGAATAATATTATGATAATAATAACGAGAATGCAAGTAAGCTTCTCTTAGTGCAGCTTATCAAGTACTAGTAATACTACTACTACTGCAGCCATTACTATTATACTTAGTAATGGTAATGTCTTCTCACAGACATTGATATAGACGTTGAGATGTAAGTCTCGTCCTAATCACACGCTCACAACCTTGACAGAGAACTCTGGAGAGTGCGAAAGACTTGTGTAAATTCCTTACATAAATTTCACAACTACACAAGTGTTGATTGTTTATATTAATTATACTACTATAAATCTACTGCTAGGCTTACTGTTACACAGTAATAATAGGAACAAAATAATATTTATATTAATAATATTAATATCTGAAATTATGGAAGGCATTTAGAACGAGGCTGGCGACCAATACATTGTCTCTTTAACAATCCTCTTGTAAATATTTTACTAAATGAGACAATAAAATAGAGAAGCCTCGTATGCCTACATATAAACTGTAGAGAGAAACTGCAACCTTTTGGTAGCTTGCAAACTTCAAAATAACTCTAGCGACTAGTGACTTATACAAGAGCAGTCTCGCATAGACCAATAGGCTTCCTGCAGATTCCTATATGTTATGTTATATCAGTTGATTTGCAGGTGTGTGTGTGTGTGTGTGTGTTCACCTAGTTGTGCTTGCGGGGGTTGATCTCTGCTCTTTGGTCCCGCCTCTCAACTGTCAATCAACTGGTGAACAGATTCCTGAGCCTACTGGGCTCTATCATATCTACACTTAAAACTGTGTATGGAGTCAGCCTGCACCACATCACTGCCTAATGCATTCCATCTGTTAACTACTCTGACACTGAAAAAGTTCTTTCTAACATCCCTGTGACTCATGTGGGTACTCAGTTTCCACCTGTGTTCCCTTGTTCGCGTACCGCCAGTGTTGAATAGTTTATCCTTGTCTACCTGGTCGATCCCCCTGAGGATTTTGTAGGTAGTGATCATGTCTCCCCTTACTCTTCTGTCTTCCAGTGTCGTAAGGTGCATTTCCCACAGCCTTTCCTCGTAACTCATGCCTCTTAGTTCTGGGACTAGTCTAGTGGCATACCTTTGAACTTTTTCCCGCTTCGTCTTGTGCTTGACAAGGTACGGGCTCCATGCTGGGGCCGCATACTCCAGGATTGGTCTTACAATTGTGGTGTACAAGATTCTGAATGATTCCTTGCACAGGTTCCTGAAAGCTGTTCTGATGTTAGCCAGCCTCGCATATCTCGCAGACGTTATTCTTTTTATCTGGGCTTCAGGAGGCAGGTTTGGTGTGATATCAACTTCTAGATCTTTCTCTTTGTCCGTTTCATTAAGTACTTCATCTTCTATTCTGTATCCTGTGTCTGGCCTCCTGTTTTCACCGCCTAGTTTCATTACTTTGCATTTACTCGGGTTGAACTTTAACAGCCATTTGTTGAACCATTCACTCAGTCTGCCTAGGTCATCTTGTAGCCTCCTACTATCATCCTCTGTTTCAATCCTCCTCACAATTTTTGCATCATCGGCAAACATTGAGAGAAACGAGTCTATACCCTCTAGGAGATCTTTACATATATCAAAAACAGTATAGGTCCAAGGACTGACCCCTGCGGGATTCCACTTGTAACGTCTCGCCAATCTGAGACCTCACCCCTCACACAGACTCGTTGTCTCCTGTTGCTCAGGTACTACTTTATGCAATGGAGTACCTTCCCTTAAACCCCAGCCTGCATCTCCAGCTGCCCGAAACGCTTTGCGTAATAGTGGCTTTAGGCATTGTATGTACTAGCTCTATCTATAAATTCATGAATATTTGTATCACACCTTTTATGTATGTACTTTATATGAATAAACTTTTTTTTCACTAGTCTCTTGTGTGGTACTGTATCAAAGGCTTTCTGGCAATCCAAAATATACAGTGTGCCCTCCCTTCTCTTTCTTGCCTTATTTTTGTTGCCTGGTCGTAGAATTGAAGTAACCCTGTGAGGCAGGACCTGCCATCCCTGAACTGTGTGTGTGTGTGTGTGTGCGTGTGCGTGTGCGTGCGCGTGTGCGTGTGTGTGTGTGTGTGCCTGCGCGTGCGCGTGTGCGTGTGTATATATGTGTGTGTGTGTGTTCACTAGTTGTGTTTTTACGGGGGTTGAGCTTTGCTCTTTCGGCCCGCCTCTCAACTGTCAATCAACTGTTTACTAACTACTATTTTTTTTTTTTTTTTTTTCCACACCACACGCACACCCCAGGAAGCAGCCCGTGACAGCTGACTAACTCCCAGGTACTTATTTACTGCTAGGTAACAGGGGCATTCAGGGTGAAAGAAACTTTGCCCATTTGTTTCTGCCTCGTGCGGGAATCGAACCCGCGCCACAGAATTACGAATCCTGCGCGCTATCCACCAGGCTACGAGGCCCCTGTGTGTGTGTGTGTGTGTGTGTGTGTGTGTGTGTGTGTGTGTGGTGTGTGTGTGTGTGTGTGTGTGAATACGGACACTATGTCTGAATAACCTTCCTTTAATCGCTAGACACAAAATAGTGACGCTGTTTTACTCACTGGTAAGAACTACAATTTCCACCCATCGTTACGAAAATTAGCAATAATTTGAACCCAAAGCATGATTTGTTTAATACAATTCAGCTGAACATATCCGGTTGGCAAGATTAGCTTAGTATTGTCGTTAGCGTCGCTAGTGTGGTGGTAGTGGCAGTGTTCTTCCTCCTTCCTCTCCCGCAGTTACCAGCAACTGGTCCTGTTGTATCCAGTGAGAGACGGCGGCAAGGTCAGGGTCCCCGGGTATATAAGACACTGCTTCCCTCTCTCACTCACTAGTTGGATATTCACATCTCACTAAAGGTAAGGCGCACTTCCACGTTACGTTTAGGAATGTGTCTGTATCAGTTCTTATCATGTTGACCAGACCACACACTAGAAGGTGAAGGGACGACGACGTTTCGGTCCGTCCTGGACCGAAACGTCAACATACTTTAGCCACGTTATTGTGACTTATTGCCTGCAATTTTAATATTTTGCTGACCGTTATCATTCCTTTTTTTTAACCAGAGTTTTTTGTCTATAGAATATATAATTATTTTCTTCTAGTGGCTCTTATAATAAAGGATAACTTTCTGTTCTACTTGTGTTTTTGTCAATATAAGCAAGATTGCCATTTAACTTAATATTAATACGTTTCCTTATCCGTTCCTTGTTTCCGTTGATATGTAATCAATGGAAAAATTTAGATATTTGTGTGTGTGTACATAAACTGACTTTTACCGGAAATTTTTCTTTATCTTTATGCATCGTTCTTTAATACTACAGATGAAGTTAATATGGCTGCTGCTAGTGGCTGTGGTGTCGGCCGAAGAAGATACTCAAGCCTCCGAGGGCGAAGCAAAGGATGCAGCCGCCGCAGTGGAAGAGCGCTCAGGCGGGGCTGCTGAAGGAGGCACCAAAGGTGACCAGAGGTCTCTGGACCTGGAAGACAGTAGAGGCTTCGGACGAAATCCAGCACTCGGAAGTGGATTTGGTGTAAATCCTTCACTTGGGGGAGGGTTCGGCGTCAACCCAGGGTTCGGTGGTGGCTTCGGAAGTGGAGCCGGTGGTGGATTTGGCAACGGAGCCGCTGGTGGATTCGGAAGTGGATTTGGCAACGGAGCCGCTGGTGGATTCGGAAGTGGATTTGGCAACGGAGCCGCTGGTGGATTCGGAAGTGGATTTGGGAACGGAGCCGGTGGTGGATTTGGTAGTGGAGCCGCTGGTGGATTTGGAAGTGGATTTGGCAACGGAGCCGCTGGTGGATTTGGAAGTGGATTTGGGAATGGAGCCGCTGGTGGATTTGGTAGTGGAGCCGCTGGTGGATTCGGAAGTGGATTTGGGAATGGAGCCGGTGGTGGATTCGGAAATGGACTCGGAGGTGGATTTGGCAATGGATTTGGGGGTGGACTCGCTGGAGTGAACCCGCCAAGCAGTTGCCGCTACTGGTGCCGGACACCCAAGGGTCAGGTCTACTGCTGCGAGGACGCCAGCGAACCTCAGAGCTTCGTCGGTTTCAAACCTGGCAACTGTCCCCCTGCGCGTCCTGCCTGTCCCCCAGTCAGGAGCTTCTCTGCTCCAACATCTTGTTCCAACGACGGTTCCTGCTCAGGTGTCGACAAGTGCTGTTTCGACACTTGTCTACAACAACACACATGCAAGCCACCTTCCGGGCTCAGGCGATAATTTAGCGCGACTTATTTATTAATAATGTCTACCGGAAAGTGATTGCATCTAAATTTAAAAGAACATATGTGTGCTGGATGATTTTTCTGTATACTTATAGTATAAATGTTTTTGCTTATCGTATTTATTACTAAAATAAAGAAACTAAGTGTTTATTATAATACTTGTTACCAAATAAATTTACAATGTTTACAATTAATTTATATATTCCTGAATTTACGTGAGGGTCGCCATCTCTAGTGGCCTCCATGGAGACAGGAAGCCGGCGGTTTATCAAAGGTCCCTCCATTATTGCTGAGGATCATTTCCAAATTATTTTTAAACTGCAATTTTGGCGGGTAGGCGGTTCCGTGGGTTTTTACTCTATGGTTTGAAAAAGAATCTCTCGATTTCTGTCCTACATTGGGATCTTTTTCTATTTTCTTTTAGAGAGGTTCAGGGTCTACTGTTTCCTTTCAGAGAAGTTCAGGGTCTTCTGTTTCCTTTTAGAGAGGTCCAGGGTCTGTTTTTTTTAGAGAGGTTCAGGATCTTCTGTTTCATTTTAAAGAGGTTCAGGGTCTTCTGTTTCCTTATGAGAGCTTCATGGTCTTCTGTTTCTTTTTTTTTAGAATTTCAGTGTCTTGTGTATTCTGAGGAGCGTCTGTGTCCTCAGCATCGTCCTGGGGAGGATCAGCAGCCTTCACGCAGCCTAAGATAAGGTTCCTAAGGTTTCCCAACGTCAAGAAAACTGTCAAATTAGAAGTGTCCTCTCCTAACCTATCAGAGGACCCGAAACAGAAAACGGGAATGTACGTCACTTTCACAAGCCGCTTCCATTTTCAAGTACGACAATTTGTGACCTTATGTAACGCATACGATCGAAATGCGACGATTTTTGTAAGAGAACAGGTTGCTTCAAGACGTCTAGCTGCCATAACAAGGGCCACAGCCACAAGAACTTCACTTGCAGTATGAACAGTATGAAGAAAGAGCAATATGGTTTATTTGCACGTCGATTAAAATCGTTAGAGATTACTCTTTATATGTTATATGTTTTAGAACTGTCTATTGCGATGGTTTTATAGTGAGACCAAGAGCTGTCACTAACATTTGCTAGGAGGTCACAGAGACAACTGTCACGTGGATGCTGGGTGGGTAGTGTCTTGTGTACAGTACTCGCTGACGGCCCAATGAGACCCACATCACTGACCTTTTAAAGGGGCTTCTGACTTACCTGTCTGAGTCTCATGCTATGACAAGGAAGGACCCAAGTTACTTTTTTTCATGAAGACTTTTTTTTTATCTTTTTCATAAGAGTACAGGAGCAGAATACTGTTGATTCCTGTTGGCAGGCTTAGAGCTTTTCCTTCACAACAGCTCATCTTAAGACTTACCATACTAATAGAAAATCCACAGGAGCTGTGATGAGGAGTCGAACCTACGCACTGGATATTCCCAGATGTACGCTCTAGCCGACTGCGCCACGACATGGTAAAAGAATTGCAACCTGGAGTACTACTGCACCCTCGAGGATTCCCAAGGCTTCTACTGAAGCCTCCTCATCACGGCTCCTGTGCATTTTCTCATTGATATATCACGATAATGTGATTTCTGTGTACTTACCATACTAGATTTATCTGGAACGCGACCCTAGACACAGGTCAAAAACGACTAGGCTACAAGAATGTTTGGACACTTTGGCTTGTTTGGGGAAGTAGATCACACGATATGTAGTGCTGTGGACAAAAACAGGGACATGCTACAGTGCATTATATATTAGACAGTGTGAAAACATAATCATTTAGATATAATCTAAACTAAGGTTGCGTGAAATGACAAATTATATTAACTTCCACAATACAGCAAATTCTCGGTGAATACCTTAATCATTCATTCAGATATTGTGTTCAAGTTTAGCTGTACTCTTTGTAACTAACAAATGACTACAAATTCTTAATGTATGCCTTATATACTTTGTTAGTGAGGTAAAACAAACGCTCTGCCAGACTTGTGGCTTTATTGATCAAACAATTACAGGACAGTCACATCCTGCAACAAAAAACAAGTCATATAATAAACAACACACACATAATCCAAGCACTGTCATATATAACTATATACTATAACAACTATATAATATAACAAGACTATAACAACAAGCAAACAGCATATGACTAAAGCTAGGGCAACAGATATTAGGGGAGCACACCTCCACGGACCTGTACTCATGCACGACACACCCGAACTACCAGGCCCGGCCACCAAACAATAACAATCAAGCGAGCATCCATCCGCCACAACTACTGCTCCACTCCGATACGATAGACACACTTTTACTACAGTTAGCATTAAGACTCGCCTGATACACTGCGTGTTAGCGGATTTGCAAGAATGTTATCTGCAAGCCAGCGTTGTTTATTGGTCCATTAATTGTTACTTTCTTTTGTTTTAAATAAATAAATATGTAATGTTTTATCGCCATTTCCTCCTCTTACTTCTTACTTTTCCTATAGTTATTACCTTTATTCTCTTATTCTCACCTTCGACTCACTATTCATCTTTCTAACCTTACACTGTCTGTCTCTTCCATTCTTTTTTCAATTACGCGACTTGACAGACGCAGTCCAGGACGGACCGAAACGTCGTCGGTTCTTTATTTTCGGATGTATGGGATGGGTGTCAACTCTTCGGACCTGTTATTGTGACATAGTCTGCTCCTGGGTGCCTATTTATTGCCAGGTGAACAGGTTTATTGGATGAAAGGAAACGCCCCCAATCATTTCTATCCCGCCCAGAATTCCCAATTATGATTCGAAAACGAAGCTGTCTGCACTACCGGCAAGACCCTAAATTACAATTAAGTAGAATGTGTACACATAAATTGTAATAATCGATGTCAAACAAGCACTGGGGTCCTATTACAAACTTTTGTGGCCTGTGTAAGCCTTTAAAGCTGCCTCTCACAAAATGAGTATGTGATGCACGATAAAATACCATTCTATTCACATGGGTCTTGAACCGTGGACCCCAACGCGTGTGAGGCCAACGCTCTATCAACTGGGCTATGACGCCATCTCAAAAAAGGAAAGCTTCCACAAGCACCATACTGTTGCCAAACTGGAATTTTCAACTTTCCCTGACTACTAGTGAAGCCCAGAGGAATTACTGACCCACGGCCACCTCATATAAATTAGCATCCACATATATATACAACTCACAAGATTAAGTATTTAATGTGACACTTGCATCTCCATAAATGAGTTCTGCTCTGTTTACAGAGAAAAAAGTGGCTGAGTGAGTGTGTGGCATTTAATCTGGAGGTGTGAAGCCTATGCCCCCGCCCTGCTTCTTCCGTCAGTGGTGCTGAAGACCACAGAAATGTAGGCAGGCAGCTCCTCCAGGAAGTTGTTCCTGTTACCTGTGGTGTCTGTTCCTGTTACCTGTGGGAATGTTCCTGTTACCTGTGGGGCCTGTTCCTGTTACCTGTGGTGCCTGTTCCTGTTACCTGTGGTGCCTGTTCCTGTTACCTGTGGTGCCTGTTCCTGTTACCTGTGGTGCCTGTTCCTGTTACCTGTGGTGTCTGTTCCTGTTACCTGTGGTGCCTGTTCCTGTTACCTGTGGTGCCTGTTCCTGTTACCTGTGTTCTGTTCCTGTTACCTGTGGTGTCTGTTCCTGTTACCTGTGGTGTCTGTTCCTGTTACCTGTGTTCTGTTCCTGTTACCTGTGTTCTGTTCCTGTTACTTCTGGTGCCTGTTCCTGTTACTTGTGGTGTCTGTTCCTGTTACCTGTGGTGTCTGTTCCTGTTACCTGTGGTGTCTGTTCCTGTTACCTGTATTGTCTATTCCTGTTACCTGTGGGTCTGTTCCTGTTACCTGTGGGTCTGTTCCTGTTACCTGTGGTGTCTGTTGCTGTTACCTGTGGGTCTGTTCCTGTTACCTGTGGGTCTGTTCCTGTTACCTGTGGGTCTGTTCCTGTTACCTGTGGGTCTGTTCCTGTTACCTGTGGTTTCTGTTCGAGAGACCTGTGGTTTCTGGAACAGAGACCTGTGGTGTCTGTTCCAGAGACCTGTGGTTTCTGTTCCAGAGATCTGTGGTGTGCTGGGTCCTCTTAATGTTGACGTTCTGAGGAGTTAATTAATATACAAGTTTCGTATGCAATGCTCAGTTCCAAAGTTCAAAATCACTGAGAATACGCATCGGTAATAATGTTTATTTAATTGAGTTTGTTGGTAGAGATTGGCATAATTTTTGTCAGTACTGTAAAATTCTATATAGACCGCACTCGTTTGTTGCCTTATTTTGTGCATGAGATCGAAGTGTTCTCTCAATTAAGAAGACTAATATTCTGCCCGAAACGCTATGCGTGATAAGTGGCTTTGCAAGAATTTACAAATACCAATCTTATGTAATCTCACCAACCTATTGTACCCTCTTGTGAATAAATTATTATTATTATTATTATTATTATTATTATTATTATTATTATTATTATTACTACCTGTTCAACTCAGGACTAATTACTATCTCTCGCTGGCAATGAGCTCAATAAAACATTTCCGCCTGTTATTTTGTCCTCTCCCCCTCCCCGGAAGCACCACGCAGCTCTTCGATATCGCTATCAGTGAAACTTACAATTACCTTCATCTGGTTTAGTCTAATGGCCAGTAAATCCCTTTTATGGCGCTGCTCTTTGTTCGATAGCCTCGCTGGCAAAACAGTCAAGTAAATACATATAATTATATTCTTCCACCTGCTCGTTTGAAACACTGCCTTTATTTTATGGTGAGAAGTTGAGAACCGGACGACTCTGATACAGTCACTGTAGTCACAGTCCCGCTCCTGTGCCGGGTAAGTCTGTAACAAACTAGGCTGTTGTAAGAATTATCCAGAGTGGTTTATCGACAAAAGAGGATGGGAAGCTGAGCCCGCATGGTGACCTGGGGACCTGACCCCCAGGGGAATTCGCGGTGGAAATAACCGACGCTTTGTTCATAGCTGCGTATAATGAACCATCCTATAGTATTCAGTAATTTAGAGAAATTAGCCTTTATTCATTTTGTATTAAAATTGTATTGTATAATAGTACTGGGTACAACATCAAGAGGATTCTAATTATTGAGTTTAAGTCACCATCAGTGACGTCACGAATCAGATCTAACTTGTAAGGCGGAGTGACCGGCGGTCATAGGTCAGCAGGGTTGACAGGTCTACTAT